TACGGCGTCTCGTCACTCACGTGGAGCCATCTGCGCATTCACCCCTGTGAATGAATCTCCCATACCCCATTTTATCTATCTCGCCGATCAGACGTTTGTACGTTTATTAGTTTAGCTAGAATGCATCAGTCATGCACGCACTTTAATCCACGCACACGAGCACGATACAATTTGGTTGAGCACCCAGTAAACGGTTGCGCCTGGCCAGCTCCGGTCCTCCTCTGCATCACCGCAGGTATCGGAGCAGCATACGTCTACTGGATTCAACGCAGTTGGGCCCGGGGTGGTTTGAGTCAAAATGCTGGTGCTCTCAGCATATCGGTGAACGCGACTTTAAATACTTATTTACCTCCTAGTAGCTGACAGGTAGCGGAGATTTTTACGCCTTGATGGAAAAGTCATGTCTCAATGCAGTTGCTCTGTTATGGTTCAAGCCAACTTGCTCGGGTCACCAAAACATGTCTACTTAAAAAGAGTTAATTGGTTTTGTAAATTCGTCCTGGTCTGGTACACCAGAGCCATGTCGTGTGAAATGTTTCTCTTCATCGTTCTAGCATCCTGTCTCGATCTCTGTCTCCGAATATGACTCTGTTTATTTCAGTTCCACTTGTTTATCACCATCCATCTCTCTCTCGGACACTTTCATGTCGTCGATTTAGACAAAACACATTTGCGCATAAATATATTACTTCAAGGCCACGAGAAATAAGCGGTGGAGCCATAGACATAAATCTACGAGAACTCGGATATTCGACGCCACCAACAACACTGAACTCACTAGAAACAGACTGGTGCGGCGAAACAAGGCAGTACGTACCTCCAGTTGTGCAGAAGGTGCCACCACGTGTGAGCGATTTCTCCACTCCTTCGGCCACCACACGCACTGACCGTCGAACAGCATCACCTACCACCACGACGTTCCTTCCATCACCGCCGCACATGGCTGATCCTCGTGCAGCAGTGGCCGTCGCAGTCACATTCAGTTGACCGATTCTGAGTGGTCGAAGAGGCAGCTTGAAGGTCTCCTTCAAGTCACCCGTACAGATGCACGTGGTGAACTCCGATGCACCAATCATGCGCCAGTCCTGAGGGTCCACCTCCAGACCGACATCAACCTCGTAGCACTGCTTCGACGTGACGTTGTGCGTCGGTGGGTAGACGAAGACGCTGACAGGAAGATGAAGGATTTCTCCTCGACGCGCGACGAGAGGAGGAGTGAACTCGATGAAGAAGGGCATGCTCACAGTCAGGAGTGGTTTGTTCTCGGGCATCCACAGACCGCGATCCTTCGTGAAGCACACGGCATTGGCTTCCCAACTCGTGAGACTGTCAGGTACAGTCAGTGGTGCCTTATATTCCGATTTTGTTAACGTGGCATATTCGAACAACCAGACCTCTGGGAAAAATTCCCGCAGTCTAGGTTTTTCTTGTATTTCACCATCCATTGCTTCAGTCGGATAGGAAACAGCCGATTCAGCGGATGTGAAATAAACTCTGTCGCTGTGAGATACCATT